TGAATAAACGCTACCTTTCATATTGTTTTCGGGAGCATATAAGCTAAAGGGGGGAGGTTCTCCCTCCGTTCGCTTAAAGCGTGCGTAGAGAAAGATTAAACGTGTCTTATATTTGTGGAATAAACGCTACCTTTCATATAACTTTTGGGAACATATAAGCTAAAGAGGGAAAGTCTGACCACCGTACACAGAAAGTGTGCGGAGAGGAAGATTAGACACGTCATATGTTTGTTGGTAAGCCATAAAAACATAACGCGATTTTTTTTTTTTGTATTTGCGTGCACCGAGGTCTGCTACAATTCATGTCAGGCGTTGAAAGGAAACAGAGTTCTAGGCACAGGCTCTCGATGATTTATGCGGCGCCTTTTCCGTCTTGCTTTAAATTGTGCGTAGAAAAAAATTAAAGATATACCTGATTGATTTACTCATGTTTCAAATTTGACCTATGTTTTGAAACAGAAATACGAAACATTTCCTATACCTTTCTGGAACATATAAGTTTAACATGTTTGTCGGAACTGAATATTTCAGTATCTGTAAACCGTGCGTAAAGAAACATGCCGTAATACGTTACATTTACAACTGCGAAAATTCTTCGTAAAGATTAGATTTCTTTTTCAGTACACTTTAATCTCTCTTAAAGTTTGCTTACATATTTCCCTGTCTTTAAAGTCTCAATACGGATGTCGTAAATTTTGCTTAAATATCTGTTTTCGTGCTGTGCTAACTTCAAACAAAGTTTTCAGCCCCTTACTATAAAGGTATTTGTGGTTGGGTTTGACTGTACCAGCTGAGTTAACAATGATGCCTAAATAACAATAAGATGATACTCTTTCTACTGTATTATTATCAAACAAAAAGGAACAGTCTTTAGGTAAACAACCTATAATTGGTCATCTGGATAATTGCGGTGCACAAAGAACCCTTAACAATACATGGGACGTCAATAGGCTATCATTAAAGGGCTTCCCATCAATCCTTGTCAGTTCAAAGTTCGTCTAATGTTGGCGGTTTCGGAACACCTGAGATTTCGGCTTCCTATAAAGTTCAGAAATAGTAAAATTATTAGTTTACATTTCCCCTCTGTGACCTTATGTCATGTAAAATATCTTATCGTCATGGTTATCATCGAGAAACTTTTCCGGTTTGTAAGATTTTGCTTCTGTAAAAGGTTTACCCTCACTTATTTCTATTAGGAGGCGAACTTTTCACATGTTTGATTATGTACTGTATATCTTTATGGTGAAATGGTTGTTTTGCCTTCTGAATTTTAAACATTTGTTGAATTAAAATAAGGAAAGGTGTGATGATTGAGCCAGCAGGATACAGAGTGACAAGCAGAGTCCAGATAATTTAACCCCCCGACCTCTTTGGCCGTTGCGTCTTTACAATAAAAGGAATGTTAATTGTATAAACGTTCTCATACGCCTGGGGAAATGTGTCACACAGCACACACCTCATTTGTCAAACTCTGCAGATCCTTTCACTCTCCTTTCATCTATTTTTTATTTATTTATTTGGCAAGAAGCCAGGGTCCGCACTCCTTCTTTGGCTAGGCCTACGGCGATATTTTTTTGGGAAGTTTTTATGTTTTGATCATAGTCCCTTTCATTCTAAACCGATCCCACGTCCTTTGATATGGACGGACGTACCAAGAACTGGGTACCAGTCATGAGAGCAGATAAAGAGTGATTCCATCTCCCTATAGAAGGGCCTGGAAAAGGAACGGAATGCCCGTACCTCAGACAGCAAGCAGAGCAATTCTCCCTACCGTTAGATTTTGATTAGCATAATTACAACGTGTGAGCATTTAAATATGCCAGGATCGCCGCACACTTCTACATTCCATGCACCCGCTCGTCTCCAGATCTGAGAAGAAGTGAGAAAGATCTCCAGACCTGACAAGAAATCTGGTAAGTACATATGTACATGAAGCACGCATATCTTTTTCCCGTTATATTTTTCACTTGTTTGATTGTTTAATATATGGCAGTTAATGTTGAGTATCTAGACGTTTTGCTGTCGCAACAATCCACCGTCAATGTGGTCAAATCATCTCCTACTGCCCTCTTGGTCCATAATCTATTTTTATCGTCAGTGTGAAGATGAAACTTTTGATACCGCTGAAACACAACCTATAGGCCTAGTTCGTCAAATGAACATTTGGCAGAAAACAAGCCCTATGCTCTCTCGATTATCGCATGATTTTTAGAGATCGGGTGATCTTCGCCTGCCCCGATCCACCTGGATATGGGAGATCTATTCAATTCCTTTTGACCATTCAGAAATATGAACCAAAAAAATATCGGCCTTGTGACGCCGTTAAAGTTTGTGTCACATTTCCAACGGGGCCTGCTCGGCATGTTCTCGGTGTAGATCCTCGGTGTAGACGCGGCCGGCGTCATGAAGCCGAGCGTACGCCGGCTGTCAGGGTCAAAATTAATGTTCCTTTACGGCTCCCTGTCGGGGCGCTGAGGTGGCTTCTATTTAAAATTCACAGACTTTTGGTATCGTATCTTGACGACCGGTTTCTGTCAGGGGCCCGTCTGATGCCCGGTCAGTCTCCCGTCTTGACCCGTGTGGGGTGAGGTAGGGTGCCGAGCGGCTCTTACAGTTACTCTAAAGATACACCACGAGTGCGAAGCTGATGTTGGCTAAACTCCTCAATGGACTGTAAACTGAACTGTTAGAACTGTTTTGATTCGAGAACAGTCTCACCGCACAATTATGTTTTTAATTTCCTTGATGTCGAACCACCTCGCCATATTTATAGTGTGGAAAACCATGTCGACAATTATTGAATGTTACTTGTATATACTTTTATCATATTAGCCCACGGTGTTAGTTTTACTGAGTATGTGGAATGTAAAATTCGGCGCAATTCAGTGTATACTGCAAGGCCGATTTGTATCGAGTTTTTATCAATAAACCATTTACTACTACTACTACCAGTTCGGCCGGGCACCTTTAAGGTCCCTGGTGGGGTCCCTGTCTTGTACGTCCCGATTTTTTTATGGTGGGTTCCTCCCTGGTTGAGGCTAAAGTTGAAGCTGAGACACGTGTATGGACACTACGACTTACTGATGATAGGGCTATGTTGAGAACATCATAAGTCCTTCATATGAACCGCCTTCTTCTAAACAATGAATGCACAGATCAGCACACGTCACGTCACAATCTTAGACAGGTGCCCATGAGGGAGCCTGGTGGGACCCGGCGGGAGGATACGGCTTCTTCCGGCGACGTTATGGCTTCGTCCCGGCAAACGCTTGCCGCCGGGGCCTGGGGAGATTTTAAGCTCGAGTGAAAATCAATTCGTCAACAGCGCGTGGCCCAAAATAGGCCGGCAGCCGTCGTACGTCACACGTTAATTTTCTAAAACTTTTATATTGTTTTTTGCTGTCTTATATTATAATTTTCGTTCCATGTGACTGCCCGGCCGGGCCTCGTGTTGGGAAATGTGACCTCGCCTTATGATAGTGTCAAAAACAACCCGCCAACGCGCCGCACGGGCCCCTTTTTTAAAAATTGTGACCTAGGCTTAAATAGGGATATTCGTTTCAAATGCGTTTCCCAAGTTTGGTGGTGTGGCAGAATTCGCGACCTCTTGGTTCGGAGTCGAACGCTCTGCCGTCGCTCCACACGTCCCCACTGTGACTTGTTCGACTGGTACACCCTGCCAGACGTTTGCTTATGGGGTCCTTTCCAATAGAAGCAGGATACAGTCGACTGCCCAACCGCCTGGGACGAAAGTTTAGCATGGGTCCAGTCCTTGAATCAAATTGAGATTGAGCCATATGGTTACGTTTAATTCATTTTACAGTTGATTTTACATAATACAGAAAAAAAAGATAGATCTTCTCTATACTTTTATAAAAAAAATACCAGTAAGATTCCTAGCTTTAGACATTTTGTCAAAGCAGAAAAATTCGTATGCCTTATAAAACTTGACAAACCATGTGTCATCAGTTCCATATGCTTGTACATCTACAACTACCTCAAAAACGGGAAGATGCTGAACCTGTAAATAGTAGGTAACATTAGTATGCATAGTTGAAGTAAGATATTACTTTGAATTTTTGCGGATATATATGACCTTTGTACTGAGCTTTTAAGAAAGTAAATATAAAATTAAGGCCTTTATCTATTTATTGTGTTGGATATATCAGTTTGGAATTTTTCTTTATATGCTAAACAGTAATTAATGTAGTGGGAACGTTGATAAAATAAGCGTTTCTGGACAAAAGATAAAGAGGCGAATCCCTCCTTTTTCCATGACCCGGCAGTGCCCCTGGCGGTTTTTCACAGAGATCAGCTCATTAAGACTACCTGTATGTGAAAGAATTTGTAAATATTGTAGTGCAAAGGCTGTGGAAGACGAAATACATCTTATTTCAAACTGTTCATTCCACAACAACGCTCGAAATGAATTGACTTTTCAAACTTCTACAATTTATCCCAATTTCTCTAAACTTACAGACCAAGAAAAAACTATTCTTTTTTGAACTTCCCAAAACCCACAAATTTTGGAAAAGGTGGGACATTACGTCTTCCATGGTTTACAGAAGAGAAGGCAAACCCTTCAGATATAGTTTTAGACATAGTTATAGTTCTAGACAGCTATCTTTATCATGTAGACTTTAGTTATTTTATACCCTACTCCATTGTTCTTTTATGTTTTGTAGTTTGCAATTAGCCCCCGGGCAAGAATTTGCAATAAACTTTTCAATTAATTGTTTCTCGTTTTCCCAGCGAAAAGTTGTTTAGTATGCAAAAAAGGTAGTGGATTTGTACGATCAAACCAGAAAAAAACACAAAATTTATCAACCTTTAGTGGCTATTTGCTGTGTGTTAAGTGAAAGATAAATATACTAGTAAAATGGACGTCAACCTCGTGCAGAGCTCGCACGACAGGCTGGAACCGTTAGGATTCTTTTTTAGAGAGGGTAAAGTTCCGTGTATAAGCAATCGTATATTTACTACATGCATATATGACTGTATCTGTTTTATATTTTTTCCTCAGAGTTCACCATACGATTGGAAGATGAAGCTGACCGTGTGCCTCCTGTTCCTGGGCTGCCTGGTGCTTGTGGCCGAAGCCATCGCCGAGCCTCGTGAGGAGGACCTGCAAGGCCTGTTGGCCGAGTTAGAAGACTTGGTTGATGAGCTAGAAGGTACGTTTGAGCTGTGTACTCTTTTGGCTATATCCTAATAATGTAAATGTAACGTTGCGCGCTCCCAAATATTACATGTACGTCGTTGAATTACTTTTGACACATGTATTCAGTACCTTCGTCCGTCCCGGGTTGAGCTCAATGTTTCTTAAATCAACCTTTTATGAGTGTTTATTTATTAATGAATGAAGACCTTTATTGTACATTTGTGTTCTACAGAACTAAGTACAGGTCGCATGGGTACAGAACATGAACATTAACATATATACATTACATACATATGAACATATAATAAATAAATGTCTAATTTCTATTATTTTCGGCTTCATCTCGCTTAGTAGTGATTGTATGAATATATGCGGCTGTGAGATTACTTAGAGTAGGTTTATCAAAAGTTAAAAGGAATACAAATTTCTCTTTACTAGTCAAATATCTGAAGTGGGGAAATATACTTAATACATGGCTAAAAAATATGAGTCTATCTCTACTATACAAGGGGCAATCTATGGTGAAATGTATTTCATCTTCTATTTGGCCTAAACTGCAGAATTGACAGGTTCTTTGTTCTAGAGGAGTGCGGTTATGTCTTCCTGATTCGATTCGTAATTTGTGACAACTGATTCTTAGTTTTGTAATGGAGGACCTGTGACGTAAGTTCGCTAAGTTGAGATATTTTTCTTCGTTATAGGAATGTTTTAGTAATCTGTATAGACGTAGTTTGTTCTTAGCATTCACAGCTTTGCTATCATTGTGAATTTCGGATAGGAATGTCTGAAAATAAATGTCTTTTAATCGCTGGAAAATTGATGAAATGGTAGGGGACGTGTTCGAAAAAATTGATTGGGGATTTTGCCAGACGAAAGCATAACCACATTCCTCTAAAGCTCTACGTACGCCAGACGCCCAGCATTTAGTACCTGAAGCTTCTAGGTCTATTTGACATAGGAGGGCGTCTGCTTGAAGGGAGTCAGCTGGTACGTTCTTGTGGAGTCGAATAAAATACTTGATAGCGTTCAGGGAGGCCTCCAAGTGAATGGGGTACCTCCCTAGTTCTGCCCGTGCTGCAAAATTACTAGCTGTTTTTGGCATATTCAGTGAATGTTTGCAAAATTTTAGGTGTACAGATTCAATAGGACAAAATTTTTGGCTTTTAAAAGAACCCCATATTTCAGACCCGTACAGTAGGATAGGTTTACTACAGGAGTCAAAGAGCTTCTTCTTAATGGATAATGAGGCGTCGGCTTTGCTAAGGGATTGTCTGATGCTGAACAAGGATTTTAGACCCTTGTTGCTTACTAATAGATGTTTGTTGTTGGCTTTGAACGTACCAGCTGCGCTTACCACTATACCTAGATAACAATATGACGTTACAATTTCTATTATGTTATTACTAAACAAAAAATAACAATTCTTAGGTAGTCTACCTCCCCTAGTAAAGACAATTATCTTTGTCTTTTTCAAATTCACCTTCAAATTCCAATCTTTACAATATTTCTCTTATTTAGCTAAACATGACTGTAGGCCTTGCTGAGATTCGGAGAATAACACAAGGTCGTCTGCATACAAAAGACAAGGAACTTTCTTATTGCAAAGAATAGGAGAGTCACAACAAGGATCATTAAACTCGGCTATGATGTCACTGATAAATAAATTAAACAGAGTTGGACTTAGATTACAGTCTTGTCGAACCCCACAGTTAGTTACAAACGCGTCTGTAAGACAATAACTTAAACAGGTATTGCACTGTTTGACTAGGTATTTTCCATTGACAATTTTAATGGATCAGGTTGATCAGGTTGATCAGATGATATAATGTAAAAAATTATATATGATTAGTAGAAGATGACTTTTGAAGTTCTCTTCGAGTATTATTTTAGGGTTGAATGTCACAAGGTTCATAAAATTGCATGTTGGGGACAAAGCCACGGAAGAGATGAAGAAAATTATTTACTTAAGTTAAAATGTACCTTTGTGTCTCATTATTCTGTTAATAAGACTCTTAAAGTGAGAAAACAGGTTATTAACTGTTATTTACTAGAGTTTTGTAATATTTTAAAGAGTTGAATTATAGAAGTGCATGTTCTATAATTATATACAATATTATGAGAACAAGAAACCTTTATATAATGTACATTGAAAAGCTAGGATAGGGAAAATGCTAGACTGCATTGCACTACGGTACGTTCCACCACATACTCCTCAACCATCCACCAGTTCGTAAAAACTGTAAGCCTTTTCATTGCGGCGAAAATGGCATCTTTTTCCGAAAGCACTTGTTTATTTTCTTGCAGTGGCGGAGGTGGGGATGGAGAAGCGAGTTGGGTGCCGCTCTAGATGCCGTCGCCTGAGAGGCGAGTTAAGACATCACTGTTTTGCTGGCTGCGGGGGTCCGATGGGGAAGCGGGACCAAGTAGAGGACCTGGAGGCTGAGGAAGAAGGTACATTTTAGCTGTGCCTCCCCATAAACCTCATTCATACAGTTTCTCTTACCAAGAAACGAATTTGAATAGGGGAATAGGTGCTGTAAAAACATATGCAGTTCATTTCTCTCTTTGCTATACAGTTCACTATTCTATTACTAAAATGGCGTTGCGCGCTCCTAAATATTACTGTACATGTACGTCGTACTTTTGACACATGTATGTATTCAGTACCCGTGTCCGTTCCGGGTTGAGCTCAATCGACCCTTTTTTTACTAATTTTCTTGTAGTGACAGAGCTGGGGATGGAGAAGCGAAACAAAGAGCGAAAGAGTACAAAAATTGTCTGCGAAATTGTCGTAAGGCTGAGCTGTGCCTCCCCACTAAAACCTCTAATCATGCAGCGATACAATACACGTGGGACACAGTCAGATTCTAACCTCCTTCGCAGTCTTGTTGGGCGTCAGCGTTATTTTTTCTGTGAGCGACGCTAGTAATATGCCGCCACGAGAGACGATTTGCTGCCGAGGGAGATTTTGCCGCGGAGAGAACGATTCGCGCTCCAACATCCTTCTCTCCGTGACAAAAACTCCCTCGGCAGCAAATCGTCCCTCGCGGCGGCATATTACTCGCGTCGCTCAGAGAAAAAATAACGCCGACGCCCAACAAGACTGCGAAGGAGGCTAGTCAATTCAAACATATAACTACATTTAGATACTAGACATCGACAATAAATTTAGTCTAAAACAATAAACTGGAGTACATTTGCTGATACAACGTATCAGTTCATGCCAGTAGATAAATCCAGTCTCTGCGAGTTCTAGGATAATACTGATTCTGGGGCCACGTCTCCGGTTTCTTTGACGTGTTTTTGTTTGTTTGTTTTGTTATTTACCTTTAACACTTGAATTTCACTTTCGCAGATTGCCCTCAATTTTATATATGTGTCCTGTTGGGTTGATTTTAATTTTTCTAGCGTCTGAGGTGTTTTCTTCTCTTGTTCTAACAGAACTGCAGGAGGAGGCGTTCTTAGCCTGAAGTGGGACTCCAGCGCCTCCGCCTGGTGCAAGTCACGGCAAATGGTACGTCTGAGGTGGCTAAGTCCCACCATAGCTCTATACTATAGGCCACACCGACTTAATTTTATGGATGACATCCGCGCGCATTGACTTTCGCCTGAATCTAAAAAAAAAAAAAGATCACGTCTTCCGAGGCTCTGGCCTGGCTTTAGGTCTGGGTAGTCCATGGTGGTTAGCGACAACGAAGCCGGAGGACGGCACCCAAGCTACCGAAGCTCCACGACTCAAGAACACAGTACATATACGTAACGGTTACAGTGTCGATGCATACATGTAAATTCCGCAAAAATCCAGCATGTGCCGGCCTGTCGTATACGTCGCTATGTAATGCGCCAAATTCACAGTACTGTATGCCTGTGGTTTAGTAGCATGTTTATTTTTGGCCGGAGGATGTCATCCATAAAATTAAGTCGGTGTCGCCTAACTAAGAAGTAACGTTTTCGGACAGTCAATAGGTCAGACCTATTTATTTTAGACTGATTTTCCAGCCCTACCCCTTGATTGTTGTCAGTTTGCCCCGTCTTGGGTTGTTCTTAGTGTTTCTTACGTCTCCTGTTTATCTTCTCTTTTTTCTTACAGAACTGCAGGGAGCTCAGGACCAGGCGGCTGAGGCAGAAGACCTTCAATAGTTTAATTAGACATGGGTGATTAAGTTCTTCGATTCACTAATACAAAGGAATGTACCTGCCTACGTTTCAATAACACATTTAGTAAGTTACTAAATGGGTTATTGAAACCTAGGCAGGTTAACAAGTTAAACTTGCTTAGGGCAATGTTGATTGGGCCAGCTCTGGTCGTTTTTCAGCTGAAATTTAATCTTAAAATCTCAACATCTTAAAATGCTTTCTAATTGCAGTAGTAATACTAAACAACAAGATGGAATGGTGATTAGGTTTTGATACTATTAATCGTTATTTCTTTAAATTCCTCAAATATCAACAGAATCTCTGAGCCACTGATTCATTGATTTTTCAACCTTATGTTTAAACAATCCTAGCAAGGAATTGTAGTGAGGATTATCGTGAACATTTTTCATCAATTTCCGGACATGTATGCGTACACTAGGTAACGTTACATCATAGAAAGCAATGGAACTGTGAATGTTTGAATATGAAGGATAATAAAACTGGTGACTGGTTTAAATTTATGCTTCTGTGTTATTTGAATAGTGTTGTTGTTTGCTGGGCTTGGGCCAATGCAAAGGTTTACAAAACACTTTTCAGCTATTCATGTTTTATTGGCATATACATTATAACATATACTATCTGAAAAAGACTATCTATAGTAGTAAAGGCCCCAGTACGACAATGAAAAATTGGTCCCCAGCATTTGCTATAACCTAGCTAGGCATCGGAGGACATACAATCTTTCTTCCCCATGCAAACATTTAACCGTGTAGGATTGTGGATATTCGGCGTTCTAGGACAGACAAATACTCTATAAAAATGCCAACATTAAAGTAATAATAATAATAAATGGTTTATTGGCTAAACATCACCCGTGCAATCGCAGCCTTATAGTGCTGAATTGATGCAGGGTTTACAATCAGATGATACAAATGGTAATAATACACATAAT